TTGTTAACTTTACTGGTGTTATTTATTTATTCGTTTTGATTTGCATGAATGACTTGTGTTTTTTCATTTTAGTCTAAAGTAAGACTTTAGGGCAGATCTGATGAATTTCCTCAGATTTTGTTTTTCTGGGAATGTATGATATTTTTCTTTATCTTATGAAGGCTGGTTAATAGAATTATTGGTTTACTTGGACTGTATCATCCCAGTGTATTCTGACCTACAAGACTTCTGGTAAGAAGTCTGCTGCTAATCTTACTGAGCATTTCTCATGTATTTTTGTTAATACCATGAACTCAGGACCTTGTGCTTCCAAGGCAGACGCAGCACCACTGAGCTAAATCCCTGGCCTCTCACATATTTTTTTATCTCGCTGCTTTCAAGATTCTTTGACTTTTGACAATTTCATTATGTTGTGTGTGTGTGTGTGTGTGTGTGTGTAGATCTCTGAATTTATCCTACTAGTTTTGCTGAGCTTTTTAGATAAGTATATTAATGCTGTTCATGAAATTAGGGATGATTTCAGTCATTATTTCAAAGTCTTTTTACCTCCTTTCTCTCCTTCTGAGACTCGTGTTGCTTGTATGTTCATATACTTTATGGGCTCCCACAAATCTCTGAGGATTTCTCTTCTCACTGTACTTCATTTCTTTTTTTCAAATTGGATAATTTCAATTGATCTATGTTTGTGTTTATTGATTCTTCTATCTTAAATCTGCTACTGAAGCCCAGTAAGAATTTTTTCATTTCAGTTATTGTATTTTTTACCTCTAGGATTTTAAAAATAGCTTCTAAGTCATTATATTTTCTATTTGATGATTCATCATTTTCACACTTTCCTTTAATTCTTTTTTTTTTCTTTTTATTGAGTTTTATTGGTACATTCTAGGTATACAGTACAGTTACATTCATTGCTGGGATCTTGTACTGTTACATGACAGGTCTTGGTTCTCATTTTTTCCCCATGTCCCTGCCCTCCCTTCACCCGCTCCTCCCCTCCTCACTTACAAACACTTTATTTCCATTTTTTCATTTTCTCATATTTTTTTCTTTTTCCTTATTCCCTTTCCCCTACCCTTTTAGCCCTTTTCCTCCTATTTCATGTTGTTAATTATCCCATTAGGATCTTGTGTACTATTACAGTTTTTCACACCAGAGCAATTATTTGGTATTTACACATGTGTGACTTATGTATTTCACTTAGGAGTATATCCTCTAAATGTCCTTTAATTTTCTAGATATGGTGTCCTTTACCTCTTTGTTTATTTAAAACTATATCTCTTTTAAATTTTTATTATTTCAGTTTATTAGCATATGTGTATAGTACATATCATTTGCATTCCTTGTGAGAAATTGGTACATACACAGAACACATCTTAATTAATTTTTCCATCCCCTGTCTCTTCCCTCCTCCCTTTTTCCCCATCCCTTCATTCCCTACTTTTTTGTTCATGCTTGCAGTACATAATGTTAACATTTCTTGTTTGGACTTGGTACATGGTATGTATATGTACCAAGTCATTTAGCTCTTTGAGTGTATTATTAATAGCTGATTTAAAAGAAAGAATGGCATGGAATTAATATGAGAAAATGAAAAATGGAAACAAAGTCTTTGTAGATTGGGAGGGAGTGAGGGGTTAAAGGGAGGGCAGGGAAATGGGGAAAAAATTAAGAACCAAGATGAATTATGTAAAGGTGCAAATTTCCAATGATGAATGTCATTATACTCTATAACTTAAATGTACCAATAAAATTAATTTTTTAAATAGCTGATTTAAAGTCTTTGTCTAGTAAATCTACTTCTGGGCCTTTTCAGAGTGTTTTTTATTTATTGCTTTTTTTATAACCTGTATATGAACCACGTATTCTTGTTCTTTGTGTGTTTTATAATTTGTTCCTGAAATTGGCCCTTTTAAATAATTACAATTTGGCAGCTCTGGAAATCAGATTCATTCCTCCCCACCATTTTTTTTATTGTTGTTTATTGCAGCTGTTTCTAGATTTTGTTATGTTGCTGTTCTTACTGTTTTGTTGCTATTTACTTGTTTGTTTTGTCCATTTCTGGACTAGCTCCCTAAAGTCTGTAACTTTTATAGAACTCCATTGAATCTGGTTTGCTTAATTGGTAACCTAATGATTGACAGAGACGTCCTTAAAGACCTTAATTGAAGTGGATTTTTTACCTTTTGGTGATGGGCTCTGTGGCTGTTTTGAGACATTCCTTCAGTGCTCAGGCAGGTGCAGCTTTGTTTTGACTTTCCTGCCTGGCTTCACAGAGTCTCAAGGTTGACCAAACATGAAAATTTAGGATCTTCTTAGACTTTTCCTGATTATGTTCACAGCTCTCCATATGTGTATGATCTTTTAAGTTTCTGAAATTATATTGCAACATTGTTAAGCCCTCTGTGGACATCTCACTCTTTATATGTCTGCTTTAAGTTTGTTGGCCAGCTTCTTATTTTCCTCAATTGGTATTGCTGTCTTAGGAAGCAATGCTTTAAAATTTTTCCATACATTCTTTTCAACAAACACTGGAAATAGAGCTTTTCCTATCAAGCAAACTCTAGGTCAGATCCAATAACAACCAACTCTATAAATGGAGTTTTACCAGATACCTTCCATAAAATTATCTGGAAATGAGATTTTGTTAATAGCTCCAAATCCACAAGTGTCTGTTACCTGCTGGTTTTCTCTGTTTCTGTAACAGAGAAACTGTAAGCTTTTAAAAGTTCTGTAGATCTAGGGAGAAGTGGGTTGGAATTGGGCAAGTTCAAATGCCCAGAAAATTTGCTGTTATTATTGACATTTCACTGTTTTTCTTAAATAAATGCTTCTCAGGATGGTGCAAGCTTTTTGTTAATTTCCAGAGGTCTGGATGAGATGATTTGGCAATATTTTATTCAGTATTTAATTTTAAGAGGAAATTTTGGAGGTTCTTACTCTATTGTGCAGGAAATGCCCCTCCATCTTTACCTGAAGACTGAAGAAAAGAAGGAAGGAAAGATGGAGGGAGTGATAGAAAAAGAAAGGAAAAAGAGAGAAGGAAAGGAAGAAGGAAGGATGAAAGAGCTGAATATACATCAATAATAGAACTGATAAATCAATCATGGTATATATTATATAATAGAATACTACATAGTAAATAAGGAGATACAAAATAGAGTTTTATGATAATATGAGTGATAAGTGAAAACTCATTTTAAATGACCATATGTATTATGTGTAGTTGTGTGTGTGAACATCCAAACATGTTAGCCAGAGAGGAAGACCTGAAACTAACTCATTTTATTAAAAAGAAAATAGGAGTTGCTCTTTAGAGTGAGTGGACTGAAACAAAAAAAGATAACCTGCTGCATCCAATACTACTAAAATAAAACTGTGAAGGATTTTTGCTTTGTTGTTTGTGATTTTCTTTTTCCCCCTAATTTACTATAAATCTTTCTTAAGGAATATTTTTGTCACATTGAAGCCTTGCTTGAGCTGAAAAAAAAAAGCTCAATAAGCCCCACTTAATTTGTGAGAGCTTCCTTTCAAAGCAGTTGCATCCCTTTCTCTTTCCTTTCAAAGACTGAGTGGGAACACACACATTTAAATTTCAAAGACACATACTTTGAATAGTGACACACTTTAGTTCAAGGACCCCTTTCACAATTTCATAAAAACCACATGTCCTCTTTCCAGAAAAAAAAATGTACATATGTACACTATTTTCCTGTAATTTTCAAACATTCAAGTAAATCAACTGATCAAGTATAAAGATATACAGAGAAAGGACAAAGATCTGGGAACTTGTAGTCTTTGCATTTATACAGAGGAGAAAAAAAGAGACCCAGATAATTGACTTGTCCAAGGCTATCTTGTTAGATGGTACCAGAATATGAGCCCCTTTCAAGAATCCCAACTTTCATGCCAAAGTTCTTCAAGTCACCTAGAATCATAGAAAAAATGATGATCCTCTAAGATTCTCAGAGACCCTGTGTCAAAGACAAGCTCTCATTATTGTGGCTTCTCCATCTGTCTTAGTTAATTTTATCATCTCTGAGATACAATTCCTACAAGTTAAAGAAGGAAAGGTTTTATTTTAGCTTACAGTTTGTAGAGGTTTCAGTCCATAGTCAACTGGCTCCAAGGTAGGGTGGCAGGGAAGAGGGAGATGACAGAGGGGAAACAGTCAATGGCAGGGTAGGCAGGAGGCAGCAAAGCAATAGCAGTGAGCCTCCTTTTCCCTTTTATTCCATTCAGTCACATCTGTTGGTTGGTGCCACCCATGCCCAGGGTGGCACTTCCCATTATCCACAAACTACTCTAAACCAGTCAGTGGATTAATTTAGTTATCACACATTCTTAACTCATATTCCCATACCCACTCTTAACCCATACATCCAAGAAAAGCCCCAACTATGAATACATAGTCCATAACACCATCTGACTCTGACCCTTATTCCCGAGTCCAAGCATCCTAGGTTCATGAAGTCAAGAGGAAACATGGCTTGTCATCCAACAGGTATCACTAGATTCAAATGGCTGCACTGTACCTGGGCTGATAGGAAGCACTAAGGAATCAGAGTGAGCACATGATGCAGGGCAATCCAGTTACAAAGACAGGAAAAGGTCATAATCTGATCCTGAAGCAACCAGATGATACGTGAAATATAAGCATTACCCCAAGAGAAGAGAATAGAGAATTTGATGAGGGTATGAATATGAAGACAAGAATCTGTGGAAGAGAAGAAGGAATCAAGCATGTAGAGAAACTAAAAATAGGGGGAAGAATAGAAGGCATTTGGGGAGGGGAAAGCAAACAGAGCAGTAGATAAGAAAATTCAAGGATTTGAAGAAATGAATTCAGAGACAGGGAAACAGATGGCTAAGTCTAACGGGAGGCCAATGGTTTTCTCACACACACCTTAGCCCTTGGAGTTCCTGCATGCAGCCCCAGCTAAATCCCTGTCCTTAGGCTAAACCAGAAGCTAATCATCCTTGTGTCTGTTTGGTCTCCACAGCTCCCATTCACGGAAGGCCTGTATCACTTTTATCACAATGGCCTCTCAAAAGCTAAGAGAAGACGCAGCCTACAGCATAAGCAGCAGCTGGACAGAGACCCCAGGGTGAGTTCTCCCCGGAAACCTGCCTCTCAGCCTCTTCTGTACAATAAAATTTGATCAGTGCAGAGAGGTGGGCAGGTAGTGGGGGTAGAAGTAACAGCATTTAATATACTGTGATGGCCAAAATATCTCCTGCAAAGGTGTACTAGACACTCTTTGCTTCTCTGTCTTGCTTATCATAAATAACCCTAGGCTTCTTTAGAGAGCCAGGGAAGGAGAAAAACCAGGGTACACTCCTTCCCTGGCTGTCCTCTTCTGGGTCATTATGTGAGTCTTTGGGTTGCCTTGGAGCATGTTTTGGCCCGTGATGGATGGAAAGACACCAACCAATTTTTAATTCACATGCTCTGAGAAGGTTTCCATAACCCATATTGTGAATAGAGAAGGGAGGGCTCCAGGAAGTGAACAGCTCACAACAGTCAGTGGACTCCCCAGTATCCAGGCACAGCTGTGGCCACCAGGCCATCGCAGTCTACCTTCTCACCTTGCATTTTTCTCACATTGATCTAATTCACCTCATGAGCCAGGTGCCTACCTGATGCTCGTGATCCCTGCTTTTTATGTACAATCTATCTTCTTTTTGGACTCCTGGACTCATTTTCTACTCCTTCAGACATCCCAAATCCAATTTTCCGCAAAGTGTAGCGTCTTAGCCACAAGGAAACTCTCAGTATTCTCCTTCCCTGCCTTTCCTCACTGAATCCCCTTCTTCCAGTCTTCTGTCACCTCCACTGATCTTCACATTCGTTGCATTAGGCAGACTCTGGTTTCGTAAAGTCAGCACCAGTCCCTTGGGGAGAAGCCCTCCTTTCTGTGTGATAATATCCCTGGCCTTGGCTGTGCCACTCATTTCCTGGAGGTTCCTCGAGGGGCTAGCGCAAGGAGCTTGACTGTTCCAACTGTGTCTTCAGGTAAAGACCACCCTGCTGCACTGTGATACTGCTTCTCCTTACAATTCAATCTGCCCCCAGGATCTTGCCCTTTGTGGCCAATTATTGTCTTTTTATTTCTGTGTTTTCTTCAAAGTCCCATTGGTTTCTCTTCTCACGGAGTAAAGCTATCGCCCCAAGATCATTTGAGAAGAAACACATAAATGGATCTAGAGTCAGAAGGAAAGAGATACTTAGCAGGCTTAGGCTGAGAAGGAGAATTGAAGAAGAGTGAATCTAAAAAAACCCATGTTTAGGCCAGAGAGACCACTTGGAACGCTAGCCTTGTGTTGTCTCATTTCTCCACATCTTGAGATGATTTCCAAAATGCTGATTCATGAAGAATAGAGTGACACTTTTGCAGGGGAAGAAAATGAGATGGGTTGGGTAAGAAGGATGGAGTTTGGGCGCTAGTGATGTTAGTTATTTGTCATTCTTTTAAAATATTACCTATTATCACTGAGCAGTCTGTCCCTCCTTAATTACCCATTAGAAAAGTCCCAGTAGTTAATGTCCTGTTCCTGGTAGAAGAAAACACCTGCCTTGACCATGAAGACTGACAGAAGGCAGCAAGGAAGCCTTCTCATCAAGGTGAAATATCACACCTTGGCGATCATGAACTCATTCTAGGAAAAAAAATTAAAACAAAAATCTCTTAAATCTTTACAAAAATAAAAGAAGGAAAAACACACTGCTAGCAATGATTACTTCATTCCAAAATGTTACTTTAAGGCCTGCATCTCTCCTGCCTGATGCTCTTTTTTTTAATTGAGTTTATTGGTACTTTTTAGGTATACTAATGTTCCTAAAGTCATGAAATTTGGGCATCTGATAATAGAAAAATATGGTGGCAACTATTCCTGAGCAAAAATACTGACTATGAGTAGTGCAAGAGTGGTGACATAAGGATTCTTCCCTGTGGGTTTCCAGACCTTAAACAAATGGATTAATGTGACTAATGTTGAGATCTATCAATTTATTTTTCCAAAGCATATTCAGTTATATTTCAAAAAGAGAAGTAAATTTAAAAAATGAGAAAAGGAAAAAATGGAAACAAAGTCTTTGTAAATAGGGGAGGGTGGAGTAGGTGAAGGGAGAGCAGGGGTATGGGGAAAAAATGAGAACCAAGATCTGTCATTTAAAGGTATAGGATCCCAATGATAAATGTAACTGTACTGTATACTTAAAAAGTACCAATGAGCTCAAAGAGAAAAAAAGAGAAGTAAATAAAAATATAGAATGAAAAAAGGAAGGACTAAGTAGCCATAAGAATTGCTGGCTTAGGCTCTTATCTCTTGTACAGTTGTTTCAAATTATGCCTTACAAACCAAGAGTTTAGGCATAAAGTGTCTTCCCGGTCTCTGAAATATGCTGTCTCCTTGATCTCCTAATTCTAGCCATGTATGCCTCAGCCTCCACTTTCTTCTCTACACAACTCCCTGGCCCCACTCACTCAGAGTCTGGGGCCTTGTGAAAGGGAACTCAGAGCCCCTGGAACCGTGCGCATCTGAATAACAGGAAGCTGAGCTCACATTGGCTCCAGGGCTGGATCTACCTAGGCAGCTTTTTGGCCAAAGAAACCAACCTCTGCTGCCAATACACAAAATAAAAAAGAGAAAGACAAAGAATCAAGGTAGTCTTTTGTTTTGGTTTAGTTTTAGAAGAGAAACTTCAATGATGCCTGTCCCTTATAGCAATTAATTTTTGTGCTTTAGCGAAAGCAAGAAAAAAGACTAGAAAGAGGTCATAAAGTGCTGCTTTCAATATGTTCATATTTGCTCATCGGTATGCAGGGATGTGGGCTATTTTGAAGACATTCTCTTCTTTGTCCAATCATTTCCTCTTATTATTATTTCCTTTTATGCTAAAGGTTAACACACTGCTGAGTATCATCATGTAGATGCTAAAAAGCAATATTTATCTCATTTATTTCTGAAATAACCTTACATAACGTGTATCTGAGTACATAGTAGGTGCTTAATAAATGACTGCCAAATGACTGGATGATTAATTCTTTCTCCTCAAAGGTTTAATTCATGAAATAGTACTGTTCTTCTCTTTTATATATCTGTACCTTATTCTGAAATACATACCCAGGAAGCAGAAGTAAAGTCTTCTTTGTAGCTTCCCTTTCGATATGTTCATAATTGTGGAAGAGGAAGCCACACGCCATTTCATTGCACCCAAGTTTTTTCACTAAGAATTCCATGAAGAACAAGCTTTGAATATCTAAAGTCCAATGCAGTCTGTTCCTGATCACTCACAGCCACGGTGCCACCCTTAAAGCACATATAGTGCATATGGAACATTCAGGTAGCTAAAATAATTTGAAGATAGAATAAATAAGCTCAATGCTGGTGTGAAATAATGAAACTAAAATTGTCATTACCCTGTCAGGGTAAAAAACGGTTATTTGAACCGGGTGTGATGGAGCACACCTGTAATCCCAGCACTCGGGTGGCTGAGGCAGGAGGATCACTGTGAGTTCGAGACCAGCCTGGGCTACATAGTGAGTTCCAGGTCAGTCTCAACTACATAGTGAGACCCGGTCTCAAAAAACAAACAAACAAAAAAAATGGTTATTCTGTGCCCCAAACCTCTGTGGGATTCATTCAACTTTGATGTTGCCAGAGCAACATCAGCTAATCTTGAAGACAAACCTACTTGTGGACTATGATCAACAGTCAAAAACCCCCATTAACTCTACAAGTACTTGAAAATTTGCTGGGGAATAGATTTATTTGAAATATTTGTTGCACTGTTCTGTGGAATCCTTCTTATATTGAAGTGAATTCCGTTTAAAAATGTGAATGATTTATACCATTCTATGAGCAACACACACAAGTTGAGAGGAAGCCAAGCAATAAAATAAAAATGACCTGAATTTCATTCTCTGAGAAAAGTCACATTTAATTCAAGAATTGCACTTATTTTCTTTTTTCAGCAATTTTACTAGACCACATAAGTATCTATCAAGATCATTTTTAAGCCTGATCCAATTTTACAACTTTTCTTTTTACAACTTTTACCATCTGATGGTGATTTTCCTTCTTTCCTGTCTGAAAGAATGGATGCTATTGTCTTTGTGTCCTATATTTAGGAGTCATGTCTTTCTAGTTTCTTTATCCTCCAAATGTGTCCATCTGTCTAGATAGCAGCCACATAGTAGTGATCTATCTTTGCTCTATAAAGTGCTGTTCTTGAACATATTTGTGGAGTTACATGGTGTTTCAATAACCCATAAAAGTTACTTTCACTGAGTGACAGAATCACTTCAAATCTCTCACCACCTTACCACCAGAGCAAAAGAAAACCTTTCTACTCTTTGAAATTCACTGTCTCAGCTAATGAATGAACCAGACCTTTGTCCATGGGACTTAATAATATAATAAATGATATTTTTTAAATGGATTTAGTCTCATAGTTGAAACTCAGGTGGTTAGCAGAAGCTGGGAATGACTTATAATTGCTGCAAGTTCTTTTCTTTTTTTTTTCCTCATTAAGTTTACTGGTACTTTTTAGGTATACAGTACAGTGAAAGTGCTTTTCTGACATGACACAGCAATGCATTTAAATCTGACTCAATGGGGTGATTTAGCCATAATTAGTAAACACCTTATACTATGTAGAATCAGATCAGAAAAATTAAGTATAGATGGTGGGAAGAGTAAGATCTGAAGGAACCCGTGAAGTTATTATAGAGAGCAATGATATAGCAATTTAGTCACAATCCACACACTTCTTTTTGAAAAAAATACTAAAACCCCAGAAGCTCAAAGCCAGCTTAGAAATTCATGTGCTCTCTTCCTCCACAAGGTACACAAAATTTTGACACAAAGTCTTAGCTTCCAATTCATTTCAAATACCAAGCATTAGGCACAATTTATATAAGGACAGATCACCTATAAATTTTGTGGATGAAGCATTTTTCCTTTGATTTATATCAGTTAATTATTTGATTACTTAGGTTAAATTTGGGGGAAAGAAGAAATAACACTATTACCTTCTACTTTCAAATAAAAAAAATGCCTAAAGAAAAATCTCCAGTTTTGCTCTGAGCAAACCCTCCTGCAG